TCCCCAGGTGCCCCCAGGTGTGCTTTACCCCCCCCAGGTGTGTTTTACCCCCCCAGGTGCACACCAGGTGTGTTTTACCCCCCCCAGGTGTGTTTTACCCCCCCAGGTGTGCCCCCAGGTGCCCCCAGGTGTGTTTTACCCCCCAGGTGTGCCCAGGTGCGCACCAGGTGCAGGCGGTAGCTCCTCTCGTACTTCATGTACTTGAGGCAGAACTCGCAGATCCAGAGCTTGGGCTGCTTGCCGTAGTCCTCGGGGAAGGGCGAGAAGTACCACGCGTCGATCTCGTAGTGCCCGATGTGGATCTTGTCCACGTACTTCACCTTGGTGATCTGGAATGGCAGGGGGCACACCTGGGCACACCTGGGCACACCTGGGCACACCTGGGCACCCAAAAACTGCAAAAATCCCGCTAAAATCCCGCTAAAAATGGGCTAAAAATGGAGAAAAACAGCCCAGGCGTCGATCTCGTAGTGCCCGATGTGGATCTTGTCCACGCACTTCACCTTGGTGATCTGCAACCCACAGGGGCACACCTGGGCACACCTGGGCACACCTGGGCGCCCAAAAACCGCAAAAATCCCACAAAAAATGAGCTAAAAATGGGCTAAAAATGGATAAAAGCAGCCCAGGCGTCGATCTCGTAGTGCCCGATGTGGATCTTGTCCACGCACTTCATCTTGGTGATCTGCAACACACAGGGGCACACCTGGGCACACCGGGGCACACCTGGGCGCCCAAATCCCACAAAAATCCCGCTGAAAATGGGCTAAAAATGGATAAAAACCAGCCCAGGCGTCGATCTCGTAGTGCCCGATGTGGATCTTGTCCACGTACTTCACCTTGGTGATCTGCAATGGCAGGGGCACACCTGGGCACACCTGGGCGCCCAAAACCGCAAAAATCCCACAAAAAATGAGCTAAAAATGGGCTAAAAATGGAGAAAAACAGCCCAGGCGTCGATCTCGTAGTGCCCGATGTGGATCTTGTCCACGCACTTCACCTTGGTGATCTGCAACCCACAGGGGCACACCTGGGCACACCTGGGCACACCTGGGCACCCAAAAACCGCAAAAATCCCACAAAAATCCCGCTGAAAATGGGCTAAAAATGGATAAAAACCAGCCCAGGCGTCGATCTCGTAGTGCCCGATGTGGATCTTGTCCACGTACTTCGCCTTGGTGATCTGGAATGGCAGGGGCACACCTGGGCACACCTGGGCGCCCAAAAACCGCAAAAATCCCACAAAAATCCCGCTAAAAATGGCCAAAAAATGGAGAAAAACAGGCCACGCGTCGATCTCGTAGTGCCCGATGTGGATCTTGTCCACGTACTTCACCTTGGTGATCTGGAATGGCAGGGGCACACCTGGGCACACCTGGGCACACCTGGGCACACCTGGGCACCCAAAAACCACAGAAATCCTGCAAAAACCCCGCTGAAAATGGCCAAAAAATGGAGAAAAAACAGCCCAGGATCCTCCCCAGGCGTCGATCTCGTAGTGCCCGATGTGGATCTTGTCCACGTACTTCACCTTGGTGATCTGGAATGGCAGGGGCACACCTGGGCACACCTGGGCACACCTGGGCGCCCAAAACCTGCAAAAATCCCGATAAAATCCCACAAAAATCCCACTAAAACCCAAAAATGGATAAAAACCAGCCCAGGCGTCGATCTCGTAGTGCCCGATGTGGATCTTGTCCACGCACTTCACCTTGGTGATCTGGGACAGACAGGGGGCACACCTGGGCACACCTGGGTGCCCAAAAACCGCAAAAATCCCACAAAAATCCCAATAAAAATGGGCTAAAAATGGCCCAAAAAGGGACAAAACCAGCCCAGGTGTGGATCTTGTCCACGCACTTCACCTTGGTGATCTGGGACAGACAGGGGGCACACCTGGGCACACCTGGGCACACCTGGAGTGCCCAAATCCCACACAAATCCCACAAAAATCCCCCCAAAAAATTCTGCAAAAATCTCCAAAAAAAAACCTCGCCAAATCTCCACAAAAATCCCACAGAAATTCCCTCAAAAATCCCAAAAATAATCCTGACAAAAAATAATTTAAAATCTCCTAAAAATCCCCAAAAAATCCCATTAAAAATCCCACAAAAATCCCATTAAAATCCCCTAAAAATCCCATTAAAATCCCTGCTAAAAATGGACAAAAACCAGCCCAGGCGTCGATCTCGTAGTGCCCGATGTGGATCTTGTCCACGTACTTCACCTTGGTGATCTGGGACAGACAGGGGGCACACCTGGGCACACCTGAGTGCCCAAAAACCGCAAAAATCCCACAAAAATCCTGCTAAAAATGGACAAAAACCAGCCCAGGCGTCGATCTCGTAGTGCCCGATGTGGATCTTGTCCACGTACTTCACCTTGGTGATCTGGGACAGACAGGGGGCACACCTGGGCACACCTGAGTGCCCAAAAACCGCAAAAATCCCACAAAAATCCTGCTAAAAATGGACAAAAACCAGCCCAGGCGTCGATCTCGTAGTGCCCGATGTGGATCTTGTCCACGTACTTCACCTTGGTGATCTGGGACAGACAGGGGGCACACCTGGGCACACCTGGGCACACCTGGGCACACCTGGGCACACCTGGGCACACCTGGGCACACCTGGGCGCCCAAAACCTGCAAAAATCCCGATAAAATCCCACAAAAATCCCACTAAAAATGGGCTAGAAATGGCCCAAAAAGGGACAAAACCAGCCCAGGTGTGGATCTTGTCCACGCACTTCACCTTGGTGATCTGGGACAGACAGGGGGCACACCTGGGCACACCTGGGCACACCTGGAGTGCCCAAATCCCACACAAATCCCACAAAAATCCCCCCAAAAAATTCTGCAAAAATCTCCAAAAAAAAACCTCGCCAAATCTCCACAAAAATCCCACAGAAATTCCCTCAAAAATCCCAAAAATAATCCTGACAAAAAATAATTTAAAATCTCCTAAAAATCCCCAAAAAATCCCATTAAAAATCCCCAAAAAATCCCATTAAAAAATCCCATTAAAAATCCCAAAAAAATCCCCCAAAATCCCATTAAAAATCCCCCCAAAAAATCCCATTAAAATCCCCTAAAAATCCCATTAAAAGTCCCAAAAAAATCCCCCACAAAATCCCACAAAAAATCCCCCCAAAAACGTTCTGCAAAAAATCTCCAAAAAAACACCTCGCCAAAATTCCACAACAATCCCACAGAAATTCCCACAAAAATCCCAAAAATAATCCCCAAAAAAAAAAATTTAAAATCCCCTAAAAATCCCCCAAAAATCCCATTAAAATCCCCAAAAAATCCCCAAAAAATCCCATTAAAAATCCCCTAAGCCTAAAAATCCCCCCAAAAATCCCATTAAAAAACCCCCAAATTTTGGGGTTCCTCCCCCACTCACGGCCTCGTGCTCCTTCTCCAGCGCCGCCGTGGTCGGGTCCATCTCGGCATAGGTCTGCAAAACCAGTACGGACCAGTATAGACCAGTACAAACCAGCGTGAACCAATGAAAACCAGTATAAACTGGTACAGACCAGTATGGGCCAGTATAAACCAATACAAACCAGTAAGAACCAGTAAAAACCAGTACTGGAGATATGTTCCTAATTCCTCCCAGTTTATCCCAGTATATCCCAGTATGTCCCAGTCCATCCCAGTGCCTCCCAGTCCATCCCAGTGCCCCCTAAAGTGATCCCAGTCCCCTTTAAGCCCCTCCCAGTCCCCTTTAACTCCATCCCAGTCCCTCCCAGTACAACCCAGTTCATCCCAGTAACCCCTAACCCTGTCCCAGTCCATCCCAGTCCCCTTTAACTCCCTCCCAGTCCCTTCCAGTCCATCCCAGTACCCGCTAACCCTGTCCCAGTCCATCCCAGTGCCCCTTAAAATGAACCCAATCCCCTTTAACTCCATCCCAGTCCCCTTTAACTGGCTCCCAGTACACCCCAGTATATCCCAGTACACCCCAGTGCCCTTTAAGTCCCTCCCAGTCCATCCCAGTGCCCCTAGAGTGATCCCAGTCCCCTCTAACCCCATTTCAATTGGATCCCAGTCCCTCCCAGTCCCCTTTACCTGGCTCCCAGTCCCTCCCAGTACACCCCAGTTCATCCCAGTAACCGCTAATCCTGTCCCAGTGCCCTCCCAGTCCCTCCCAGTGCCCCCTAAAGTGATCCCAGTCCCCTCTAACCCCATTTCAATCCCCTTTAACTGGATCCCAGTCCCTCCCATCCCCTTTAACTCCATCCCAGTGCCCTCCCAGTCCCCTCTAACCCCATTTCAATCCCCTTTAACTCCCTCCCAGTCCCCTTTACCTGGCTCCCAGTCCCTCCCAGTCCCTCCCAGTACGTCCCAGTACACCCCAGTGGGTCCCAGACCTTCTGCACGTGGTTGATCTCGTCGTGCTTGCGTTTCTGGTTGCGGGTGATTTTCCTCTCGGGCTCGGCCAGCTCGCCCAGGAACGGCTCCGAGCTCTTCTGCGCCGCCTCCTTCAGGCTCTTGGACAGCGCCAGCCGGTTCCGGTCCACCCACTCGTCCAGCCGCCGGTTAACTGGGCAAACTGGGACTTACTGGGAGCACTGGGAGCACCCTCAGTGCCCCCCAGCCATGCCCAGCCTGCCCAGTGTGCCCAATTCCCCACAGTCTGCAGTGAACTGGGAGCACTGGGAGCACTGGGAGCCATCCCAGTCCATCCCCAGCCGGTTCCGGTCCACCCACTCGTCCAGCCGCCGGTTAACTGGGCGAACTGGGACTTACTGGGAGCACTGGGACAGCCCCAGTCCATCCCAACCCATCCCAGTCCTTCCATTGCCTTCAAATCCCCACAGCCTGCAGTGAACTGGGAGCACTGGGAGCACTGGGAGCCATCCCAGTACATCCCCAGCCGGTTCCGGTCCCCCCACTCGTCCAGCCGCCGGTTAACTGAGCAAACTGGGCCTTACTGGGAGCACTGGGAGCGCTGGGAATCCTCCCAGTCCATCCCCAGCTGTGCCCAGCCATGCCCAGCCAGCCCAGTGCCTTCAATTCCCCATGGTGTGCAGTGAACTGGGAGCACTGGGAGCCATCCCAGTACATCCCCAGCCGGTTCCGGTCCACCCACTCGTCCAGCCGCCGGTTAACTGGGCAAACTGGGCCTTACTGGGAGCACTGGGACAGCCCCTGTCCATCCCCAGCCATCCCAGTCCTTCCAGTGCCTTCAAATCCCCACGGTGTGCAGTGAACTGGGAGCACTGGGAGCCATCCCAGTCCATCCCAGTCCCTCCCAGTCCATCCAAATCCCCTCCCAGTGCCTCCCAGTTTGCCCAGTTCACTCACAGCCCCATTCCCAGTCCCTTCCCAGTCCCCCCCAGTCCCTCCCAGTTTGCCCAGTTCACTCACAGCCCCATTCCCAGTGCCTCCCAGTTTGCCCAGTTCACTCACAGCCCCATTCCCAGTCCCTCCCAGTTTGCCCAGTTCACTCACAGCCCCATTCCCAGTGCCTCCCAGTTTGCCCAGTTCACTCACAGCCCCATTCCCATTCCCCATTCCCCCCACCGCAATCCCAGTTCCCCCAGTATCCCCAGAATAACCATCCCAGTACTCCCAGTTCTCCCAGTATCCCCAGTTTGCCCAGTATAACCATCCCAGTTCTCCCAGTTTAACCATCCCAGTACTCCCAGAATCCCCAGTTTGACCAGTTCTCCCAGTAGGACCATCCCAGTTTACCCAGTTTACCCAGTAACACTCCCAGTTTGCCCAGTATAATGCTCCCAGTATCCCCAGTTCTCCCAGTTTACCCAGTATAACCATCCCAGTATCCCCAGTTTGCCCAGTATAACCATCCCAGTATCCCCAGTTTGCCCAGTATAACGCTCCCAGTTTGCCCCTCACGCCAGCTGCCGTCGGCCCTGCGGCACAGGTACGGCTCCCTGATCACCCAGTATCCCCAGTTTGCCCAGTATAACGCTCCCAGTTTGCCCCTCACGCCAGCTGCCGTCGGCCCTGCGGCACAGGTACGGCTCCCTGATCACCCAGTATCCCCAGTTTGCCCAGTATAGCGCTCCCAGTATCCCCAGTTTGCCCAGTGTAACGCTCCCAGTATCCCCAGTATCCCCAGTATCCCCAGTTTGCCCTCACGCCAGCTGCCGTCGGCCCTGCGGCACAGGTACGTCTCGCCGATCTCCCAGTATCCCCAGTTTGCCCAGTCTAGGAGACAAAAAAAGGGCGGGAATTGGTTGCTAGGAGACAAAAAAAGGGCGGGAATTGGTTGCTAGGAGACAAAAAAAGGGCGGGAATTGGTTGCTAGGAGACAAAAAAAGGGCGGGAATTGGTTGCTAGGAGACAAAAAAAGGGCGGGAATTGGTTGCTAGGAGACAAAAAAGGGCGGGGATTGGTTGCTAGGAGACTGGGAAAGGGGCGGGGATTGGTTGCTAGGAGACGGAAAAAGGGCGGGAACAAAAAGGGGCGGGAACTGGTTGCTAGGAGACAAAAAAAGGGCGGGAATTGCATTCTGGGGGTGTGGTTTGATTGATATGAGGGGCGTGGTTTAAATTTAGAGGCGTGGTTTCGTTGCTGGGGGTGTGGCTTGGTTGCAAAGAGGGGCGTGGTTTCCATTTGGAGGCGTGGCTTGTTGCGGGGGCGTGGTTTTGTCGTGAGTGGGCGGGGTTTGCTGGTGTGGGGGGCGGGGTTTGTCGCTGGGGGCGTGGCTTAGTTGTGAGGGGCGCAAAAATTGGGAATTTTGGGGCCTGAAAACCGGGAATTTGGGAGCTGAAAATCGGGAATTGTTTTGCTCAGAATCCCCAATTTTTGATTTAAATTTCCTCTTTTTGGCCCCAAATTCCCGATTTTCAGCTCAAAAGCCCCAATTCTCGGGTCCAAAATCCCCTTTTTTACCCCAAACTCCCAAATTTCAAATTCTCCTGCTAAAATTTCCCCTCTTTGCGCCAAAAATCCCAAAATTTTGGGTTAAAATTCCCCCTTTTTCCCCCCAATTCCCAATTTAACCCCAAATTCCCATTTTTTACCCCAATTTCTCCATTTTTACCCCCAAAATTCCCTTTTCTCCCCAAATTCCCAATATTCGGGGGGGGGAAATTCCCCTTTTTTCCCCAAAATTCCCCTTTTTTGATTTAAAATGCCCCTTTTTGCCCCCAATTTCCAATTTTAACCCAAATTTCCCATTTTTTGCCCCAATTTCTCCATTTTTACCCCCAAATTCCCGAATTTTAATTTAAAATTCCCCTTTTTGCCCCCAATTCCAAATTTTAACCACAAATTCCCATTTTTTACCCCAATTTCTCCATTTTTACCCCCAAATTCCCTTTTTTCCCCAAAATTCCCGAGTTTTAATTTAAAATTCCCCTTTTTGCCCCCAATTCCAAATTTTAACCACAAATTCCCCCCTTTTTTACCCCAAACTCCCAAATTTCAAATTCTCCTGCTAAAATTTCCCCTCTTTGCACCAAAAATCCCAAAATTTTGAGTTAAAATTCCCCTTTTTTCCCCAAAATTCCCAATTTTTCACTTAAAATTCCCCCTTTTTCCCCCCAATTCCCAATTTAACCCCAAATTCCCATTTTTTACCCCAATTTCTCCATTTTTACCCCCAAAATTCCCTTTTCTCCCCAAATTCCCAATATTCGGGGGGGGGAAATTCCCCTTTTTTCCCCAAAATTCCCCTTTTTTGATTTAAAATGCCCCTTTTTGCCCCCAATTTCCAATTTTAACCCAAATTTCCCATTTTTTGCCCCAATTTCTCCATTTTTACCCCCAAAATTCGCAATTTTTGATAGAAAATTCACCCTTTTGCCCCCAAATTCCCCTTTTTTACCCCAAATTCCCCTTTTTTACCCCAAATTCCCATTTTTACCCCCAAAATTCCCTTTTCTCCCCCAAATTCCCAATATTCGGGGGGGGGGGGAAATTCCCCTTTTTTCCCCAAAATTCCCATTTTTTGATTTAAAATGCCCCTTTTTGCCCCAATTTCTCCATTTTAACCCAAATTTCCCATTTTTTGCCCCAATTTCTCCATTTTTACCCCCAAATTCCCTTTTTTCCCCAAAATTCCCAATTTTTATTTAAAATTCCCCTTTTTTCCCCAATTTCTCCATTTTTAACCCCAAATTCCCGAATTTTAATTTAAAATTCCCCTTTTTTCCCCAATTTCTCCATTTTTACCCCCAAATTCCCTTTTTTCCCCAAAATTCCCGAGTTTTAATTTAAAATTCCCCTTTTTGCCCCCAATTCCAAATTTTAACCACAAATTCCTCCTTTTTTACCCCAATTTCTCCATTTTTATCCCCAAATTTCCCATTTTTTTAATTCAAAATTCCCCTTTTTTCTTCAAATTCCCATTTTTTACCCCAATTTCTCCATTTTTATCCCCAAAATTCCCATTTTTTATTCAAAATTCTCCTTTTTTCTTCAAATTCCCATTTTTACCCCAATTTCTCCATTTTTCCCCCCAAATTCCCTTTTTTCCCCCCCAAATTCTCAATATTTGGGCAGAAAATTCCCCTTTTTTCCCCAAAACTCCCAATTTTAACCCCAAATTCCCATTTTTTTACCCAAATTTCTCCATTTTTCCCCCAAAATTCGCAATTTTTGATAGAAAATTCCCCGTTTTATCCCCAAATTCCCGTTTTTTACCCCAATTTCTCCATTTTTACCCCCAAAATTCGCAATTTTTGATAGAAAATTCACCCTTTTGCCCCCAAATTCCCCTTTTTTACCCCAAATTCCCATTTTTTTACCCAAATTTCTCCATTTTTCCCCCAAAATTCGCAATTTTTGATAGAAAATTCACCCTTTTGCCCCCAAATTCCCCTTTTTTACCCCAAATTCCCATTTTTACCCCCAAAATTCCCTTTTTTCCCCCCAAATTCCCGGTTCCCAGCCCGGGGGGTTTTCCCGGGGATTCCCCTCCCCCGTGACGTCACCGTGACGTCACCGCGGACCTTCGGACCTTGCCCCGCCCCCCGGAAGCGATGGAGGCGCTCAGGTGCCGGGTGGGGGAGGGGAACGGGGGGGAAATTCGGGGATTTTGGGGAAAATTCGGGGGAATTTGGGCAAATTTGGGATTTTTCTCGAAATCTGGGGGAAATTTGAGGGAATTTGGGGGGGATTTGAGGGAATTTTGGGGGATTTTGAGGGAATTTTGTGGGGTTCGAGAAGATTTTTAGGTGAATTTGGCGAAATCCTGGGGAAATTCGCAGAATTTTAAAAATATTAAAATTTAAAAATATATCAAAAATATGGAATTTGGGGGGGATTTTATGGGATTTTGATGAAGTTTTTGTGAATCTCGGGGGATTTTGGGTGAATTTGGTGGAATTTTGATTTAATTTCAGGGGATTATGGGTCCGTTTGCTGAAATTTTGGGGAATTTCAGAGAATTTTGGGGAATTTGGTGGAATTTTGGGGGATTTATTGGGATTTTGGGCTCATTTGTGGGAATTTTGGGAACTTTGGGGGGGAAATGAGGGAATTTTGGGAGAAATTGATGGAATTTTGGTGGATTTTGGGGAATTTTGGGGAATTCAGTTGAATTTTAGGGGAATTTTGGGTCGACTCGATGGAATTTTGGGTTAATTTGGGGAAAATTTCGGGGAATTTTGGGTTAACTTGATGGAATTCGGGGAATTTAGGTAATTCATTGAAATTTTGGGTGAATTTGCGGAATTTGGGTTAAATTTGATGGAATTTTGGGTGAAATTTGGGGAATTTTGGTTAAAATAATTGAAATTTTGGGTGAATTTGTGGAATTTGGGTTAAATTCGATGAAATTTTGGGTGAAACTTGGGGAATTTTGGGCAATTTGGGTTAAATTCGACGGAATTTTGGTTAAAATCAATGCAATTTTTGGGAATTTTGGGGAAATTTTGGGAATTTGAGTTAAATTCGATGGAATTTTGGGTGAAACTTGGGTAATTTTGGGGAATTTGGGTTAAATTTGATGGA